TTTGAACATAATCAGTCAAATTAAGTCAGAGATATGGGTCTAGAAGCCCATTCATTGAAACAAAATGGCCACCAGACAGCCATTTTGAATCCGATCTGAAAAATAAAATGATGTGCATCAGGAACCCGTGATGTCTAATGTATGTACCAGGTTTGAACGAAATCCATCCATAAATGCCAGAAATGCTTGATATTTGATGATTTTTTTTCAGCACAAAAATGGCCACCATTCGGCCATTTTGAATAGGATCGTCAAACCAATATACATTTGTATCTGTCTATCTATGACATGATGTATTATGAATATTTTTAAAATTTGAACATGATCAGTGAAAGCAAGTCAGAGATATGGCACGAGAACCACATTCATTAAAACAAAATGGCCACCAGTCGGCTATTTTGAATCTTATCTGAAAAACAAAATTATTTGCATTAAGGTCCCATAATGTCTAATGTTTATACCAAGTTTGAACAAAATCCATCTGTAAACAGCCAAGAAATGCTTGATTTTGATGATTTTATAGCACAAAAATGGCCGCCATTCGGCCATCTCGAATCAGATCGTGAAACAAATTGATGTGCATATGTATAATATCATGTATGATGCATGTGTGAAGTTTGATTACGATTGGTCCAGGCATTTCTAAGATACATGTCTGGACGCACGCACGGACACACAAGGGTCCAAACACACATGTAAGTCCCCGTTTTCCGACTGCGTCCGAACAGGAACTAAAAATATATATTAAAATATCTTAACCATAAATGTAATATTTTTTTAAACAGATTCACCATGACACAACAGAATCCATTGTTACATACCTTGTATCACTGGCATATGTTGCAGCATGCAATGGTAGTCTTCCTGTTTTGTCTGCTATGTATTGCTTAGCACCATTACGAAGTAAGAATACGACACCAGCATACCAACCCTGTCAGCAGAAAACACAAAAATTATACTACACATGTAGGCTTAAAAATCAAAAGTATCAGTTTGAAAAATGTGCCCCAGGGAATTTTGAATATCGGTACGATACTCCACATACGATAGAATGGGGAAATGTTTTGTTTTCTGTTTTGTTGATCCAATTCAACCTTTAATGTATGTATTCAAAAACATTTTTTAATAAATGGTAATCGTTGAACATACTTGTTGTAGCAGTTCTAACTTGGACGAGTGCTTACCTGGTATCAGCCAGAGAGAGAGGAGTTCTAACTTGGACCAGTGCTTACCTGGTAGCAGCCAGAGAGAGAGAGGAGTTCTAACTTGGACCAGTGCTTACCTGGTAGCAGCCAGAGAGAGAGGAGTTCTAACTTGGACCAGTGCTTACCTGGTAGCATGCCACAGAGAGAGGAGTTCTAACTTGGACCAGTGCTTACCTGGTAGCAGCCAGAGAGAGAGGAGTTCTAACTTGGACCAGTGCTTACCTGGTATGCTGCCACAGAGAGAGGAGTTCTAACTTGGACGAGTGCTTACCTGGTATGCTGCCACACAGAGAGGAGTTCTAACTTGGACCAGTGCTTACCTGGTATACTGCCACACAGAGAGGAGTTCTAACTTGGACCAGTGCTTACCTGGTATACTGCCACACAGAGAGGAGTTCTAACTTGGACCAGTGCTTACCTGGTATGCTGCCACAGAGAGAGGAGTTCTAACTTAAACCAGTGCTTACCTGGTAGCAGCCAGAGAGAGAGAGGAGTTCTAACTTGGACCAGTGCTTACCTGGTATGCTGCCACAGAGAGAGGAGTTCTAACTTAAACCAGTGCTTACCTGGTAGCATCCAGAGAGAGAGGAGTTCTAACTTGGACCAGTGCTTACCTGGTAGCATCCAGACAGAGAGGAGTTCTAACTTGGACGAGTGCTTACCTGGTATGCTGCCACACAGAGAGGAGTTCTAACTTGGACGAGTGCTTACCTGGTAGCATCCAGAGAGAGAGGAGTTCTAACTTGGACGAGTGCTTACCTGGTATGCTGCCACAGAGAGAGGAGTACGACCCTGTACATCCTGTGTATTGATAGATGCTCCCATCTTCACCAATAATTTCATGGTTTCTAACTGTTCACCAGCTACGGCATGGGTTAAAGGAGTCATACCTTGGAAAATTATATTAAAAAGGACATTATTTATTAAAGTTACTATATGTAATAATTAACAATTCTGATAATTGCAACAATTAAATATATTGTAAAGTTAAAAGTATCATATGCCAAGAAGCATGTCCAGACACTAAACATCACAGTCTATGGCAGGATCACGGTCAACCCTAAGTATGATATTTGACCTGCTGCTTTGAACTTCCTATTAAGTCCATGGCAGAGTCACGGTCAACCCTAAGTAGGATATTTGACCCGTGGCTTTGGCCTTTCCATTAAGTCTATGGTAGGGTCACGGTCAACCCTAAGTAGGATATTTGACCTGTGGCTTTGGCCTTTCCATTAAGTCCATGGCAGGGTCAGGGTCAACCCTAAGTAGGATATTTGACCCGTGGCTTTAGCCTTTCCATTAAGTCTATGGTAGGGTCATGGTCAACCCTAAGTGGGATATTTGACCTGTGGCTTTGGCCTTTCTATTAAGTCCATGGCAGGGTCAGGGTCAACACTAAGTAGGATATTTGACCCGTGGCTTTGGCCCTTCCATTAAGTCCATGGCAGGGTCACGGTCAACCATAAGTATGATATTTGACCTGTGGCTTTGGCTTTTCCATTAAGTCCATGGCAGGGTCACAGTCAACCCTAAGTAGGATATTTGACCAGTGGCTTTGGCCTTTCTGTTAAGTTCATGGCAGGGTCACGGTCAACCCTAAGTAAGATATTTGACCTGTGGCTTTGGCCTTTCCGTTAAAGTCCATGGCAGGGTCACAGTCATCTCTAAGTAGGATATTTGACCAGTGGCTTTGGCCTTTCTGTTAAGTTCATGGCAGGGTAGGGGTCAACCCAAAATAGGATATTTGACCTGTGGCTTTGGCCTTTCTATTAAGTCCATGCCAGGGTCACGGTCAATCCTAAGTAGGATATTTGACCTGTGGCTTTGGTCTTTCCATTAAGTCCATGGCAGGGTCATGATCACCCCTAAGTAGGATTTGATCTGTGGCTTTGATCTTTCCATTAAGTCCAGGGGCAGGGTCAAAGTGAACCCTAGGTAGAACTGTCCATGGCAGGACAGGGGTGGGAGTATTTGTCCTCAGACTAATTCCATGCTGAAGCCAATAAATGCAACAACCACAGGGAGATCATGCATCACTGGATGAATGAGAAAAAAACAAACATATAATTTCCTAAATCATAACCCTACAAGTCAATGTCAATGACACGTCCCCGTTCCGTTCATATTTGAGTGACATATACATTCAAAGCAGATCATGACCGAAATGCACCTGCATATGTACAACACATTGTGCTAAATCTGAACAAAATCCATCCATGCATGACTGAGATCCGGTTCTGGA